TGATCAACTGTTTAATCCGCTGCAAATTGTATTCTGCAGTTGTGAGCATAAACCCTTTAACTGATACATATTGTTGCTTCTCACTAACTAATAAACTAGATTGATCTTACCACAGTTGGTCTGTTCTTTGTCTGAACTTCATCTCGGGGTCCATGAACAAAAAAAACTACAATCCCTAAATTACAATACTGGCTTGTCTTCGGGTGGTGGAACATATGCTTCCTCAAGACCTTGGACTTGCAGCTCGTGGGGCTGTTCGTCAGTGGCTTAGGCTCCCTGAGGACACCCCACAAGCTTCTTCCATGCTTCCACTCAGAATGGAGGGGTAGTATTCCATCTTCGGAACCTCCATCCTGACCCTTACTACACAAGCCTTATCTAATAACACTCTATAAAACTGGGAGATAGTTAAACTCCCTTATGTCCCAACGCCACCCCGGTGTTGGGGGGAGCCCAGCAGCCGGTTCATAACACCTTCTGCCTGCAAAATGTCGGCGGGGGTTGAGGGGGTGCAGCTGTGTTGCCCGTCGTGCTCTATCATCCCCCTCAACAGGTACTCAACATAAAACAAAAATAACAAATATCTGGAGATATACCCATGGACCCGGCGGGTCATATGGGAACCGCCGAGTGCTCATGGGTGTTTTCCAACACCCGAGGCCTGGCTGAGCAGTGTCGGCATGTACCATAACTCCGTATGTGTGAAGGCCAAGTGGGACGAAGATGACCAGATGTTGGCCCTTGTCGAGTCCCGCCTGGTGGCCTCCGATTGAAAGACATCAATCAGGCCATACACAATGAGCTTCCACATCGTACTGTGGAGGCCATCAAAGGCCATCGGCGCAGGCCCCACTACATCACAGGTAACCAACCAGCCACTTAACCCGCTTTCTGCAATAGCACACTTCAAATATATCTTGGAATTCACTTCCATCAGCGGGGGAGGAATGGTGGTGGTGGTGGGAGGGGGGGGGCAGTCCATGGAATCCATTTGGTCCATTGACAAAAGCCAATGCAAATCTGACCACTTCCTACAATCACAAAATCATAATATACCCCAGCAAACAGGGAATGGATTCCGTATCACATTCTCCTCCATTACTCTTAACTGGAGGGGAGCGCTGTGTGCCCCGTTGGCCAATACCCAGATCACTGGGTCTGCTCAGACACTTGGAATTAATATCTATCTGGTGTCAAGGATAGCACCAAGTGCTTAGGTCACAGCCACCAGCGAATCTCTGCAGGGAATTGATGAAGCAGCACTACACCAGGAGTTAAAACCCATGGGAGCTCTCCTCACCGAGCCTCTGGGCCATGGGTACAGTATTTAGTCAAAGCCCATAGTATATAAAAAAAGTCAAATTTTAAAAAAAATCAAAAGAAATTCAAAGAAACGTGGATAAACAGAGTAACTATGACTCTCTTCACCTCCATTGAGGAGACAAGTGAAGGGCCCGGTAAAGCCTTTGTCGCAATTTAGCCTCACCCCCGGCTAGCCATAAGGTGAAAGGGGGAGAAGAATATGTAAACCTCCTCCCCGCTGGTGAGGGCCTCTCCCAGGTCGACTGCTGGGGAGCCTCTTCCTGGTCTCGCCAGCGAAGCAGTCCATGATGGGCTGGGTTAATTTGTGGCAGACCTAAAGGAAAGAAAACTGACAAAAACCATGAGATAGGTAAACTACCTTAACAAACTGGTAACAACTCCAAGTGCTCTGTTTTGGGCAGCCACCGGATGTCCCTAGGCCATCCCATGTTAGGTGGGGGAGTCTGGGCAATCAGTTTATAACATCTACCATCGGTGTGTTTGAAGGTGTACACAATGGGCTTCCACATCGTGCTGTGGAGGCCGCCAAAGGCCATCGCTGGAGGCCAAACTGCATCTTGCACTTATGGGAGCTTCTCGCTGTCCCAGCTTCCCTGAATCACTCCCCATCGCCAGACACCTCATTCCCCTCTTCTGCACCTCCCTCCAGTGGCGCAGAGGGCCCTATGGGTCTTCCCCAGGGTGGTGAATCGTCACCTGATTCCAGCACAGATTCTGCTGAGACCTGCGCTCAGACGTTGGTTACCCACCTCCACTCACTACTCCGTGGTAGCCCGGAGACGTCTCAAATCTCATGAATACATTACCAAACTAGTTCAATTTATGGCTATTATATGCCTACCTTCCCCTACCTTTCAAATCACATCGAACTATCCTAATCCTCAAGGTTTCTTCCCCTACTGAACCCTCCCTATTCCAAACATTAACAATTTCTTTGATCATTGTCAGATTATTCCATAAAATATTGGCTAAACGCTTCTCATCAATTGTTCACTCTAATCCCACTTAAACAGTACTCTGCACAGGTGACAGGATGGCTGGAAACATCATTGCCCTTGACACCCTTCTAAGATAATCCACAACACAATTTATACCCCTACATGTTGCGACACTTGACGTATGTAAAGCATTTGACTGTTAACTTTGGCTCAATCTTCAGAGCCGTGGCATTACACAGCTTTCCTTTACTTTTAACAAATTACCTCCGATCATCATACACTAACTCTACAACTTACATAAAAAATTGCCCAGGTGGCACCCATCTCCATGACGAGGGGAGTGAAGCAGAGAGATTCTCTCTCCCCCTTACTCTTCAACCCCGTGATGGACAAAATTATTAACAACATGCCAGCCGGCATTGGGGCTTGCCTGGGCAACTTCCAATAACCAGCATTAGTATTTGCGAATGACATTCTGTGTTCCCATCCACCCCCACAGGCCTGCAGAACCTACTAGATTTTGTTTCCACCGCTCTTTCCCCAATAGGATTATCACTTAATCCACAGACTTTGTTCATTGTCATCAATGGGAGACGGAAGCTATCTCATCGATGGCACTCAAACCTTCACCGTCAACAATCAGCCACTCAATCCCCTTTCTGCAATAGCTCACCTTAAATATCTTGGAATCTATTTCCATCTGCGGGGGAGGGAGTAGTCTAGTTGGGTCCATCCTGGAAAATGGGCTCCAGAACCTTTCTTGGCTCCCCTCAAACTACAACAACACATATAGTTTAATTCCTCAACTCCAATACCGTCTCATCTTGGTGGGTGGGGGGATGGTGGAACATGGGTCGTCTGGATCTGCTGGTTCATGGTGGTTTAGGCTCCTTGCGCTCACCCCCTCGAGCTTCTTTGTTACTTCGTTCAACGATACCCGCTAGGGATGGAGGCCTTGGGATACCATCCTTTAGGACCTCCATACCGATCCTCACCAAATTATCATGGTGTGCATCACTAGGTAATACCCCACCCCATTTCCAGAGACGCCTTCTGGAGGAAACATGGATGCAGTGTTTCGCGGAAGAGACTTTCCATTCACAGGAGGCGGCAAATAACATTTGGGCCAGGCAATGACACGAAATGCCGGTCACAGCTGTGGACTCCGGTAACAATTTAGTTGGGGGATACCAAAAGTGGGTAACCGGGAAGCGGCTCCGGAGTTCTCACCAGTCCGTCCTGAATTGACCGTATACATGTCCGAGCAACCTGCTCCCGACTGCAAGTCGCAGGGTACGAGCCGACACCATGTGCGATGGTGAATGCTGATCCCGTGAAACACTTGCTCATATCTCCTAGTCGCGCTTTCGGACGCATTCAAACCGTGTCTGGAGGCAAGACCAGGTATGCAAGTTCGTTGCCCAAAAGTTGAGAAAGGATTCCAGGTGATCCTGGAGCTCTCGATCCCCACAGGTATATGAAGCTCAATTGAATCATTTATAAAAATCAGTACACCTGGATGTTGGTCAGCCAAATCAAGACCGATGCAATTCTGGCCACGGCACATAATCACAAAATAACATATTCTAATACCCCAGCAATCACGGAATGGATCACCAAGACATTCCCTGATTCATGGGGCACCACATTCTCCTCCGTTACTCTTAATTGGAGGAGAGTGTGGTGCCCTATGTCGGCAAATCCTTTAGGGCCACTGGAACTGCCCAAAATACCTGGAGCTCATATCTCTTGGGGTGTTGGGAGTCCACCCATTATGCCTACAAGGTGTTCAAAAAGAACGCAGAGCACTTGGGGTGTATCCGGCTGCGAGTCTCCTTCGGGATTGATGATGCACTGAGAACACCAGGACAAGCCCTCCCCGAAGATTCTTCTGGGCCACGGATACGGTAAATTAGTGAATAGCCTATACTAAATAAATAGGGCGAACTATAAAAACAAAAATAGCCAAATGCATCGACACGCTCTGAATGTCAGTGAAGAAATTCAATGAAGAGCATCATAGTGTAAACGACGGGAGAAACAATGACTCTCTTATTGTTTACCATCCAAATTTTGTGCGTTTTGTTTCATCATTCATCAAATAATAAGAAAGTGTTGTTACACAGGACTTGTTTCCCATATTAAACCAGTAATCTTGAAGGGTCCTCGCAGTGACTTTGGTGTATCACTGTGAAGCTCGTCTCTCTCCAATATGAATTTGCTGCTGCACTGACACTCTGTCCTTTCTGTTAAATGGTTCTTTACACACTTCACATTTGAATGGTTTCTCTCTGGTGTGGGCCTGCTGATGGCCTGACAAGTGACCGACCTGACGTGTTAAGTGGCTTTTTACACAGGCTGCAATGAAAGGGCTTCTCTCTGGTGTGAGCTCTCAGATGGACTGACAGACGACTGCATCTGTTAAACCCTATTTTACAGACTTCACACCGAGAGCGTTTCACTCCCAGTGTGGGTTCTCTGGTGCATTGACATGTGATCAGATGAAGTAAATTGCTTTTTACACAAACCACATTCAAATGGTTTCTCTCCGGTGCAAGCTGTGATGTGTGTTAATCCGTTTCTTGCACACATCCCATTTTAAAAAAAATTTGGTCACTTAATCCACGACTGTTTGTGGACACTGCTGTGCGCAATTGGCTGCCGCGTTTCGCCCACAAAATACAGTCAATCCACTTTACACTATATTCTGTGAAGTGCTTGGAGGGGTCTCCAAGACGTGATAAGGCGCTATATCAAATGCAAGGATTATTATTAAACGGTTTGTCTCCGGTATGAGACCGTTGATGCCAGCACAGTGTTCCGGATTTGTTCAATCACTTTTTTTAAAACACAGATTTCATTCGACCCATTTCTATCCAGTGTGAATCTTACGGTGCGATGACAGGTTACCGGACGTGCTAAACTGCTTCTTACACACGTCGCATTCGAACGGTTTCTCCCCACTGTGGGTTCTCTGGTGCTTCAGAAGTGTGGAGGACTTGATAAACCGCTTTTTACATTGGCCACATTCAAACGGTTTCTCTGCATTGTGAGTCCTATGGTGCGTTGACAGGTTACCTGACGTGTTAAACCTCTTTTTACACACGTCGCATTCAAATGGTTTCTCTCCGGTGTGAATCCTGAGATGCGTTGACAGGTTACCGGACGTGTTAAAGCGCTTCTTGCACACATCACATTGAAATGGTTTTTCTCCAGTGTGGGTTCTATAGTGCGTTGACAGGTTACCCGACGTGTTAAAGCGCTTCTTGCACACGTCACATTCAAACGGTTTCTCTCCGGTGTGGGTTCTTTGGTGTGTTGACAGGTTACCGGATGTATTAAACCGTTTCTTACACACGTCACATTCAAACACTTTCTCTACGGTGTGAGTTTGCTGGTGCTGCAGAAGCTTGAAGCATCTGGTGAGCTGCTTTTTACACTGGCCGCTTTCAAACGGTTTCTCTCCGGTGTGGGTCTCCTGGTGTTTTAGCAGATCAGAGGACGTCTTAAATCGCTTCCCACAATCCCCGCAACGAGACACTCTCTCACCACTGTGGGTCTGCTGATGAATTTCCAACACCGATGGAGTATGGAAACCCTTGCCACACACGGCACAGAAAAGAAGCACGTCATCTTTAGAGGCACTCAGACTGCTGGCTGAGATCTCAGACTCTCCTGCTTCACTCTGCACCTCCGATTCCATCCTCAGACTCCTTTCCAATGCCAGTGACAAAATCCCCAAAGTCTGGAAAGAAAAAAACAAAGCATCAGTTTCAGCTCAAAACGCGTCCTGAAAGTTACTTAGATATTTGCACTGATTGGTTGAGATCTGTATATATTGTTGGGAGTTTCCTGCCCTGGGTTCCCAGTGTCACGACATAATAGTAATAATAATCCTTCCATTTGATACAACTCCACATCGCTAGAGTCCTGTAGCTCAGTAGTTAGAGCACTCACCTCACAAGCGAGAGACCTGGGTTTGATTCCCGGCAGGACGAAATGGTGGGCAAGTTTCCTTACTCCACACGTCTCTAGCAGTAAGTAGGAAACCGGTTGTTAGTCGATTGGCGGATCGCTTTTTCAGGGGTAATAATTCCTTCAAAATAAATAAAAATTATTTTGGCACTCAATCCACAACTGTTTGTGGGACACTGCTGCGCACAATTGACTGCCGCGTTTATCCTACAAAAATACAGTCAATTCACTTTACGCTGAAGGGTTAAAATGCGTTTCCCACATTTCAATGCAACTCAGCGATAAGCGCACGTTTCATGGGGTAGGATGTCATTTCCCCCAATTCAATATCGTTGGTAAGTGTCGGAGTGTGACAGGAGGATAAATCCTGTCCCTGCTTTCTATGGATATAGGCGCTCCCCTTTTGTGTAAAGGAGCTGTTATTTTTTTGATTTTGTTGAAAAAAAAGTTGCCTCAATCAACAACAACAAATTACATTTGTTATCGTGCCTGTCACGTCTGGAGGACGTTCCAAGTCAGAGAGCTGCAGCCGAGCTGGTAGTTCGGATCAGAAGGGGTGGAGGGCAGATGTAGAAGGGTGACCAAGAGGAGGGTGTTGAGATGGAGGGTGTTGAGATGGAGGGTGTTGAGATGGAGGGTGTTGAGATGGAGGGTCTTGAGATGGAGGGTCTTGAGATGGAGGGTCTTGAGATGGAGGCAGGTGGAGTCCTGTAGCTCAGTGGTTAGAGCACTCGCTTTGCAAGTGAGAGACCTGAGTTCAATCCCAGGCAGAGGGCGAAACCTTGGGCAAGTTTCCTTACTCCACACAGAGCCTAATAATATTCCCTCCAAAACCAAAAACAATAATAAATTGGTCATTTTCAATCTACGACTGTTTGTGGGACATTGCTGTGCGCAATGGCTGCCGCGTTCGCCCACAAATATACAGTCAATTCACTTTACAGTGTGTTCTGTGAAGCGCTTTGGGACGTCCTCCTGACGTGAAAAGCGCTATATCAAATGCAAGGATTATTATTATTATTATTATTATTATTAAGGTAGCTGACAAGGACTGGACTCCAATGAGGATCGTTTGAAGTTCCAGCCCTAAGTGCCCTAATTGAGCACCAGCAACAATTAATGCATCAGAACCAATATACATACAGCTGCTAAAGAGGTGGGAATGTCTGTGAAAGACGGCTGTAAAAAGCAAAAGTTTCCTCATTAAAATAAACCTTTTTGTTATTAAAACCGCCCGCCCACAACGCACCCCCCCCGGCCCCACCCCCCCCCCCATGCACATGAGGCCCCTCCCCCCACACACGGCCCCCCACACGCGCGCGAGCACGCGGCCCCTCCCCACACGTGTGCGCCCCCTCGCCACACACACACGCGTCCCCTTCCCATACACGCGCGTGCGGCACCCCCTCCCCACACACACACACGCGTGCGGCCTCCCTCCCCACACACACGCGGCCCCACACACACACACACACGCGGTAACTCCCCACATGCGCGCGCGCGGCCCCTCCCCACACACGCGCGCGCGGCCCCTCCCCACACACGCGCGCGCGGCCCTCCCCACACACGCGCGCGCGGCCCTCCCCACACACGCGCGCGCGGCCCCTCCCCACACACGCGCGCGCGGCCCCTCCCCACACACGCGCGCGCGGCCCCTCCTCACACACACACGCGCGCGGCCCCTCCTCACACAAGGCCCCTCCTCACACACAAAGCCCCTCCTCACACACACAAAGCCCCTCCTCACACACACAAAGCCCCTCCTCACACACACAAAGCCCCTCCTCACACACACAAAGCCTCTCCTCATACACAAAGCCCCTCTTCACACACACAAAGCCCCTCCTCACACACACAAAGCCCCTCCCCACACACAGCCCCTCCTCACACAGCCCCTCGCAGACACAGCCCCTCCTCCCAGACAGCCCCTCCTAAGACAGCTCCGCCCACCCGACTACACAGCCCCTCCCCCATAGACACAGCCCCTCCCCATACACAGCCCCTCCCCCATACACAGCCCCTCCCCCATACACAGCCCCTCCCCCATAGACACAGCCCCTCCCCCATAGACACAGCCCCTCCCCCATAGACACAGCCCCACCCTCCACACACACAGCCTCTCCACCCAGACACAGCCCCTCCCCCAGGTCGCCACTCATTCACCTTCTCCCCGCTCGTTAGGCCCGGCTCTCGGCGCCTCCTGCAGCCCTCGCTCAGTGTGAGCGGCCTCCGGTCTCGGGGGGGTTGGAGACGCTCAGAGCGGCCATGATGGCGGCAGAGAAAGAGCGCGAGAGAGAACAAAGCGCGGAGCCGCCGCCGCCCTGACTCCGCTCCACCACCCAACGTAGGCCAGAGGCGCAGGGCCCGCCCACTGCAACACACCGCCGCTGATTGGCCAGTACTTCGCCTCTCGTGTGGCCGCCCGTCATGTCAATCACCCGGAGCCTGGGCCCGCCCCGCCCCCCCCGCCGCACCTGATCGCTGGTCCCGCCCCCCGCGCGTGGCCATTGGTGGTTCAGGGGAGGGAGGGCTCGCTGCTGATTGGCCGAGTTTGAATGGCACGGGGTCGCGAGCTGCGCAGTAACGGTTGGTCAACAGCAGGTGGTTGTCGTTCAGACAGTGAGTGAGTGTCTTTGTCTGTCAGTGTGACTCTCGGTATGTGTGTGTGTGTGAAGGGCCCTCCCCGTCAGGTCCGACCTGCACGGACCAGTCCTTGTCCAGTCAGCGCGCTGCCCTCAGGCCGCCCGCCCGCCCGCAGAGGGAGAGAGGGAGGGAGAGGCCGGGGAGACACAGCCTCGGAGAGAAGCCGTGACGCGTGCCGAAAAGTGGCCTCACCGGGTCCGGTAAACCTGTCAACGCACCGCGTAGAGCAGGAACTCGCACCGGAGACCGACCGCTTGAACGTGGTCCACACCCTCCGCACTGCTGAGGCACCAGGAAACCCCCCCTCACACCCCCTCACCCCCAACCCACCTCCCGGGGAGAAACACACTTGAACGTGACGGACGGGTGTAAGAAGCGGTTGAGCGCGGGGTCACCGGGGTGGGGGGGGGGGGTCAGCATGTCCGGTAACCCGTGAAACACGCCCCACAGGATTCACACCGGACAGAAAGGGTTCAACGTCTCAATAATAATAATAATAATAATAATAATAGTAGTAATCCTGGCACTCCATACAGCGCTTTTCACGTCTTCTCGACGTCTCGAAGCGCTTCACGGAAACAGACTGTACAGTGACTTGCGACCGGATATGTCTGTGGGCGAAAACGCGGCAGCCGACTGCGCGCAGCGGCGTTCCCCCCCCCCCCCCACACACACACACACACAAACGGTCGGTGGGCTCCCGCTGGATGGAGAGAAACCTTTTTGATTGCGTTGCGTTGCGCGTCAGAAGCGGTTTAGCAAAACGATGGTAGACATCACTCCACCAGCAGCAGCGACTCGCAGCGTAGAGAGAGAGAGAGAGAGAGAGATGAATGTGCTTTGTGTAGAAAAGCAATTTACTTCATCTCGATATCACGTGTCAATGCACCAGAGAACCCACACCGGGAGTGAAACGCTCTCGGTGCGACGTCTGTAAAATAGGGTTTGACAGATCCGGTCGTCCTGTCAGTCCATCTGAGAGCTCACGCCAGAGAGAAGCCCTTTCATTGCAGCCTGTGTAAAAAGCCACTTAACACGTCAGGTCGGTCACTTGTCAGGCCATCAGCAGGCCCACACCAGAGAGAAACCATTCAATTGTGAAGTGTGTAAAGAAACCATTTAACAGAAAGGACAGAGTGTCAGTGCAGCAGCAAATTCATATTGGAGAGAGACGAGCTTCACAGTGATACACCAAAGTCACAGAGAAGCCTTCGCTGTTTATGAAGGCGTGGAGGGCACTATATCAATCCACGTTGTTGTATATCGTGGGATCAACTGTCCAAAACTATGGAAACATCCTGTGTGAGGAAACTCATTATTTGATAAATAATGAAATATCCACACAATTTTGTTGTTAAACAGTGGTTTCCTTTAATACAGTTCAACACAGAGCACTGTGCTGGAGCATCGTCTTAAGACTATGTGATTACAATAACAATAATAATAATAATCCTCGCATTTGATAGAGGGCCTTATCAAGTCATTGAGCCGTCTCAAAGCGCTTCACAGAATATATTGTCAAGTGAATTGACTATTTTGTGGGTGAAACGCGGCAGCCAATTGCGCACAGCTGTATACGACACGCAGTCGTGAATTTAAGTGCCAACATTATCAATATTATTTCACAATATTATTTCCAAGTCCCCAACATGTGGGGCCTCGAACCCACAAACCCTCTGACTCAGAGGTGAGAGTGCGAGTGGCTGAGCCAGGCTGATACCCAGCGATTGAGCCAGGTTGAGGGAGTAAGAGACAGAGAGAGAAAGACTGAGAACTCCCTCTCTCTATCAGGCTCAGTCTCTCTCCTGTGTCACTGACTGTTCCCTCACTATCCTTGATCTAATCTGGCAAATTTTAGCCTGTAAATTGCTGCGGAAATGCTGAAAACCTCTCCCTGAGTGAGTGTTCATCTCAAACGCAACTAAAATCCAGCTTCCTGTCTCCCTGTATAAGCAAACACACAATTAGGCTGATAATTAAACTCCCTCACTTGTTCCCTGCCCCGCTCTCTCGTTTAGATAGAGAGAGGGAGAGAGAGACTGAGATACAGAGAGAGAGTGATTGAGTTCCTCTGTCTTGGGACAGCACAGTGCCTTGGGACGTCCTGCTGACGTGAAAGGTGCTGTACTAATGTAATTTGGTATTTGTTGTCTCTGCACGAAGAAGTGAGATTTCTCATGGCCCCCACTTAGACGCTCATTAACCCTGTAAAAGGTTCCAGACTCAGTCACTGAGCCCCTCACACACTCATTCAGCTTTATTCAGTTTCAAAACTACACATCGATTGCCATGTTTCTCTCTTTCTCTCTCACTCTCTCACTCTCCTCCCCACCCCATCTCTCACTCCCTCTCTCACTCCCTCTTCCTCACTTTCTCTGCCTCCCTCATCCCTCTCTCCCTCTCATTCTCCCTCCCTCACTCTCCCCTCTTCCCTCTCTCATTCCATCTCTCTTTCACTCCCTGCGTCTCTCCGTCGCTCTCTCTCTCCTTCACTCTCTCCCTTACTCCCTCTCTCTTTTTCCCTCACACTCTCCCTTCGTCTCTCATGCTCTCACTCTGTAAGTTTCTCACTCGCCCCCTCTTCCTCCCCCTCTTTCTCGGTGACCAGACGGCTGATGCTGTCTCTCCGCTGCCGCCTCCCTCTGCTGTAAGCCTGGTATCTGCCCATCAAGCAGGCGACAGTAAGGACCAGGCAGCCGACACCAAGCAGGGAGAGCCCCAGGTTACCAAGCACCGAGTCGAGAATCCTTCTGCTCAACGCCAGCCCGGTCACCGTCAGCCCCACCACAGCCAGCACCGAGCCCCAGGCCGCCAGACAGCAGCCACAGGAACCAGTGGCCAAACCCGTCACCGCCATCGCCTGGTCCATCTCCGGGACCCCTGTCCTCGGCTGCTCCAAACCCCGCAAACACACACTGTCCGCCCGCACATCAACAGTCACACTGGGCTCCAGCATTCTCTCCCTCCTTCACTCTCGCTCCTTATAATAACAATACGAATCGTTGCATTTGATACAGAGCCTTATCACGTTGTTGAGACGTCCCAAAATGCTTCACAGGTTACATTGTAAAGACTGTAATTTTGGGGCCAAACTCGGCAGCCAATTGTGCACAGCAGTGTCTCGCAAACAGCTGTGGGTTGAGTGACCAAATTTTTTTTTATTGTTACCCCCAGAAAGCAATCTGCCAGTTAACTAACAATTGGGTTCCTGTGTACTGTGAGGTAAACGCGTGTGGAGTAAGGAGACTTGCCTATGGATTTCGCCCCAGTTGGGAAGCGAACCCAGGTCCTCTCGTAAGGTGAGTGCAATAAGCGCTACGCTACACGTCTCCACCTTCACTCCCCCTCTCGCTTGTGTCCTCCCTCACTCCCTTGCTCACTCATTCACTCCCTCGCTTGCTCACTCCCTCACTCATTTGCTCCCTCGTTCGCTCCCTCATTCGTTTAAGCGTGAAAGGCACTAAAATAAATGCAAGTTGTTGTTGTTCGCTCTCTCGCTTGTTCATTCACTCGCTCCCGCCTTCTCTCGGTGCATCGTCGGATGTCCTCTCTGTAACAATAATAATACGATTATAAACAGAATTAGAATAATAATAATAAAATAATAAACAAATAAAACTCACACAAAGCTTAAAAATC